GGGGGAGGGGGGAGGGGAATTTTGTTGGAAGGAAGTGGAAGGTAAACAACTCTAAAACTCCTGAAATAATTAAAATAATATGCCATATTATGCATATTAAATATGCTTTTGTTAATTTGGTAACAAAACGGTATCATGACTAACTTGATTTATTCATAAATGTACTGGTTCTGTGTATTTCCTAGGTAGTGGTTTAATAAAATGTGAAAATGTGATGGGTGTGCGGTGAGGAGGAAGAACCCAAAAGAAATGCAACATTTCTTTTTTCTCCCCTCAAAGAGCCCCCTTCAGGCTTCGAGGTGCAGGAACTGGACCTCAGGGAGAAGCCCCAGCCTAAGCCCCGCCCCTTTCTGTCCCGCCCGTCTTTCCCAGCCCAGTCCCCAGGGGGCGCAAGAGGCCAGGGAGCCCAGGTCAGCGGCTGAGGTGCCTGGCAGGGCAGCCCTGACAGGGAACCCTCCTCTCCAGCAGGCCCAGAGCTGAGGCTTGGAATGAGCCCAAGGCCCTGGCGGCTGCCCAGGCAGGAATTCCGCCGTGGGTATTATCAGGGACCCACCCCTGGCAGGGAAAGCCTTTTTGGCAAGTTAACTCACCATGTGGCCACCGCCCTGCCGGCCAGCCAGCACCCACTGCCCCTACCTTGCAGCCCTCGCACGCATGGACGCCGTAGTGGAAGCCCGACGCCTTGTCCCCGCACACGCGGCACTCCATGTTGAGGCTGCCGCCCGGGGCCCCGTCACAGCCTGTCTGCAGCTGGTCCAGCAGCGAGGGGGGGGAGGCGCTCCGGGAGAGGTCTGCAGACACAGGGCACGACACGGGCGCTTCACGTTCTGCCGGCTGAGCCCGTTTCTCACTCACACAGCCCTGGCTCAGCCACATAAGAGCCATGTGCCATGCGGGCCAACCTTTCTGAGACCAGTTTCTTCGTCTGGTCTGGAATGTGGGGCTGACAGCATCTCTGGGAGGCTGGCAAAGTTTCCAAAGCATCCCCCCTGCCCCCCTGAGCTGGCGCAGCAGGTACCCCAGAAATGGCAGCTCTGCCTGTGGGGGGTGAGGCAGCGCCTTCCTGGGCTGGCCGAGCCCGTGGAGAGGAGAGGGTATGAAGGAGCCTGCAACTGAGGTACAAGCCCTTGACAGAAATTGAACCCAGGATCCTTCAGTCTGCAGGTGGACACTCTATCCACTGAGCCAAACCTGATAGGACAGCAGAGTCTCTCAGATTATCCTTAGGAAGGGGCCCACGTGGGGTGTGGAGTGTGTTTTGAGAAGATGGCAGAGTGCAGACCTGGGAAGTCTGATTCCTGCATGGACTGCACAGATGCTTGTAAAGGCACTCCCAAGCTCAAGTTCACTCCCACGAAACATGCTCACACAGGAAGGGGGTG